ATGCTATGTTGTAGCAAGGAATGCTGAATTTTTTTTAAACTATCAGAAATTTCCATTTTACAAAATTTAAAGTTCTAAACGGAGTAATTAGAATAATTTATATTTAATACTTATTATTTACAACTACAAAATTCATTTCGGCTTTTTTACGCACTGAAGAACCTGAAGTTTTTAGAACTACTGAAGTTCTTCCTGTAAATTACAGAAATGGGGATTCGCTTGTTTATAACTTTTGAATTACGATTCGTTCTTTGGTTGGACTTCACGTCAGATGTTTGGGAAAATGGCATGAGGTTAGTTGGAAGAGCAGACCTTATGGTGTGATCCTCACCACACATAAATAAAATTACTATTATTTTTATTGAATCTTTACTCTCTTTTATCGTTAGGGCAAATACACAGGTCATACATGACCAAAGCATATTTATCAACGTCTTTTTTATGGGAATTCACATCTACCCTATCCCCATAAACTTGCGAGTTATACCAGTTGTTGAGATATGACCATCGCCTTCTGCATTATTTTATAAATATTCACATTAATATTCACAACTTTCAAACTTTTAAACAGTGTCTTCTGAATTACTGCGGTACTAGAGATGACAATGGGGAGATTCTCACATGGTCCATGTGCCACTGTCTCTTGATACTTTCAACCAGCCGAGCATATTTTGTGACCTTCTCGACATTCTTCTCTTGAAGGTTTTTCGTGTTTGGTATGGCTATGTCAATTAGGTTGGCTTGCATTTTTATCTTGTGTACTAGAAAGAAATAAGGCCGGTTATGTGGGGTTGTCTGGTCCGTGAATATTGTTCTGTCCCAATGAAGTCAGCATTCATCATTTTCAAGAACATTGTTAGACACGTATTTATAGTAGGGTACCTTGCTTTTTAGAATCTGGTGTTGCTAAGCAATCTCTTGATGTAGTAACTTTCCAACTGCATCATGACGTTGTTTGTAATCAGTCATCCCGAGAAATGTGTGCTACAGATGTAATGTGGTGGATGTTATCTTGTGCCTGGCATTCATATAGGTATCTATATTCTTGTACCTCAGGATCTCTTACTACGCTTTCAGATATCTTCTGGTGGGCATGACTTGATCTTGAATTGACAGCGTAGTGCCTTCCGTCTCTGCTTGCTAATCCACTTTTCCAGTTTTTGTTGTTCTGTATTACTATTTTCGTTGTATTCTTTATGACTTTAATTCAACGATGTGATTTATCTGATAAACAGAGGATAGAATGTACTTTAGATGTTTCTGCTTCCTTGTGGAAGTATTCTCATAGAGATTGATGCTGACGCTATGCTGATGACGACGATTGCCATCCAACATTCATGCTTTGAGAAATCTGATGAAATACTTGATGCAGAGTTAGGCTTACTCTAGTAATACTACCGCAGATGGAGACTGACCCCAAGTACAAAGACGACGGAACGTTCTAGCTAATGTAATAAAATGGCCGATCGGAAAATGAAGATTTATTTCAATCACTCCCTGTTCCACTACAATAAGTCACCAACATACTTGGGAATAACCCTGAACCGAACCTTATCATATACAGCTCACTTGAAAAGCATCTGCTAAAACTCGCATTAGAAATAATATTTTGCTGAAGCTTTATGGGTCAACTTGGAGCGTTGCCAGTACTTCAGCTCTCGATCTTATGTAGAGCGCAGCAGACTAAGGAGCTGCAGTATGGTTGAACAGCGGCCATTTCCATTTGTCGACACCCAATTAAATAACTCTATGCGCACTATAATTGGATCCATTAAATCAACTCCAATATACTGGCTTCCCATCTTGAGCCACATCCCTCCCTCTGACCTAAGGAGACGGAGACCCCAACTGGAAGGATTCAGCAATATCTCCCGCAATACTAGCGTTCCTATACTGCGGTTAGTCTCGTCGACTCCCGCTCGCCCCAACGCACCTCTTTGACACGTGAATTGAAATACCAGCGCTCAAAGAGCTACACCACGGGCATGGCAGCTACAGCATGGCCACGGGCAGGAGGCGTACGCGCGCCTACGTCACCCCATGTCTACGAGGCAATCCCTACGGATCTCTCTTTCAAAGCGGGAAAGGACCCTCCCAACCCCCGTCTCACGTTTTTGTTCCCACCGATTGCCGGACGAAGCAGCGGAACAGTCGTGTTCAGAACCCAGTAGCCATTGACAGTAAAAATCCCAAAGGATGCGTCGTAATATCATCAGAGAGATAGGATAAAGGAGCTGTTGTCTTGCCCCGTCGCGTCGCCACGCGCCCACGGCGACACAATTGCGTCCAATTAAATCTTTTTAAAAGTAGGTTAATCAGGGAAGGGGTTTCCTAACAGCAAATACACGGCAGAGATCCGTGGAAACTTCTAGAATCTGACGAGGTGACCAATAAGAGTCAACATTTCACTCACGTTGCGAGGCTTTGGAACTGCTTGAAGACAGAGGATAGGAAGCGAGGAAGCAACGGGCACAAAAACGAGAAAAAGATTTGCAGAAACGTATTAGAAATAGGCAGACTTGAATTGGTGACGATATCAGCTGCAGATGAAACTAGTCAGCGCTTGCCGGCTTATGTAATCCAACCGTCCGTCATCAGACGAGTTCGGAATTAATGGAGTGCGATGCCGGTCGTATCTGCTGACGAAGTGCAAAGGTGACGTATGACGGTCCAATCTCTGAATCTTCGACATCGAGGCTCATCTCGAAAAGTTGCAGGGTAACCGAGAGGTTCAAGGAATAAGAATTCATTTTTATGAAACTCTTTGAAAAAAAGGTAAACTGCTTGCAAAAGTGACCAAGAGATCGCTCCTGCTTCTGGGTGATAACCGAACAGCCTATACATTGTCGACAAATTCCCGCAAACGATTTTCCAATTACTTGCCATCGAACCATATTAAGAACCCAATAACCATTGCCCTTATAAATCCCAAAGGAGGCGTCGTAAAATCATCAGGGAGACAGGATAAAGGAGCTGTTGTCTTGCCTCGCCGCGTCGCCACGCGCTCACTGCGGCACAAAATAAAAGGAGCCAAGCAGTATCGTGGCGGTCCGTTTCGCTCGTGAAAAAAGGCTAAGTCACACGCATTTCGGTTGCACCAAAAATTAGATTTTAGGTTGTATTATTACGTCAAGTTGGCTTTACCTTTCCGAAGTGTTTTACGCGCGCGTGCGAATCACACTAAAATTGCAAGCGGTAAGGAGAATGATTACTGTTCGCCAGAACTAGGTAATTCTGACAAGTTCTTCAATTCATAATTATTCTTACGCTGAGGTGCTAATCGTGTCGATTGCGTGTTGTCTTTTCAGAATATCCTCTTCTGACGAGAAGAGAGAAGGGCGATGGGCAGGACTTTCTTTGTGCAGTTTCTGCAAATGATCTCCCAATTATTTAAGCAATATTTCGCAGCCTCAACAAAATCTATTAAAGAAGACACTCGACATATAAAACTATAAATAGATGGATTTAAATAATAAATTTGATTCGTTTTAGAATTTGTAAGAATCTTCAGATATTATGATAGCAAAGAAGTGTAATGTTTTTTCCCTAATTAAGTTATTAAGGAGGTCACTCCCCCACCGAACTTTGGCGCGGAACCTCGCGATACTCAAGCGGTGGTTTTCATACAAATTAGAGCTCTAGAATGTTGCCAATATCAAACAGGTGTTTGTGTTCATGTGGAATAATAGATCATATTTACAAACGTTCAAAGACAAGCAGCTGCAACTGCCCCAGTTATCTTTTGTGATATTTTCAGGTATTCATTCCCTATACGACTCGTCTTGCTTCTTCCGTGCTTATTTATTCCACAATCAGATTTAAATTACCATCAGAGAATTAAATATCATAAAATTGCAATATTTGGGAATTTTCATAAATAGCGGAAGAGTTAGCGGTTAAACCAAACTTACAAAGGCAGCCTGTGTTTGTGTCAATTTCTATAATCCTCATCGTCTTCCAAAATTTCATTTACATGTAATACGCTGATATCCTAGTTATTGAAAGAAAAAAATGTTATTGGATCCTTTTCATTGCCTGGCGGTACTGCAACCTGAACAAACTGATTCTCATGGAGGCTGACTTTACAAACTTTAGTATGAATTTCATGAATTTTTCATTCACGACCTGCTGTTGAAAAATGGATGAAAAAAGTGACAATCGAAAAAATTACACATTCAAATAATTATTTCTCGTTGACCTTTAATTAAATCATCAATTAATGAAATATTTATTGCATACCATATTCCAACAAGTCGACTTTCCATGTATTGGTTATTGAAATTGTTCATTTTTCTGGGAAACGTGTTTATTATTACTATATATTATAGACATTTTAAAATATATTGTTGAATTTAAATTATAAATTTTACTCACTTTGCTTAATAAATTAGCTAAAAGCGAATAGAGATATTTTAAAAAGGAAAACATGACTGAACATTGACCTACACCCGTATTTTATTTGTTACGAAATTTAAAACACTGATGGAGTACATTTTAAATACCTTAAATCTTTGATATATTTGAATAACTTTGAATGCGAGAAACTGTGCTATATGGCGTTGCAGAGAGTCGTATATCCTTATTCCTTTGACGAGTTAAATTCGCAGCGGACTTGTTCGCGAATGTCACGTCAGGAAAGTAGTGATGAAATACTGAAGATTAAGATGAAGATCACTTCTTTCCTCGGTTGTAGAGGACGAAAACTGGTTCGCCTGGTATCCATTTAACGGGAATACATGCAGGTTAGAAATAGAAAACATCGCACATTCGATAGATGCAAATAAGATCCACCAGCTGTAGTTACGAACTCTCTTCGCCTTCAACAATCTTATTTTCCCATTTCTGTCATCTGGCTGAGGGAACTACTGTTATTCTTAGAGATATTCAGAATAGTGAATCACTACTTCATGCATCAAATTTGAATAAAATTTCCATGACTGGAGAATTAATGATAAGAATGCCGGAGGCACCGAGGATGCCCTCTGTATTACGATACTCACCTCCTTCTGGTAACTCAAGACTGGGATTCAGCGCGTGCCCCGAAGCCATTGTCTCTGCACACACGATCTTCTGTTCTGCTGAGTTGCCCAATGTGTATGCTCAGAATTTACATTTTTATTGAACTGAAAGAAAGAAATTTTTATGACAATTGTAAGATTTGGTTTGTTTTAAGAAAATTCCTCATTTACTACCAACTTATTTCTAAAATGATATCTTATCTTTTCCTACGATTGTAGTGAGTTCTCAAAATACGTACATAGTATATGCGCTAAATGTTTTTTCTAAAGAACGAAAAAGCACTTCAAAGAACTTACCACATCGTTATGTCAAATGCGAATTATATTTAAATTGCAGTCAAACACATAGTGACCACAAATATGTAGAAAACGTTTGGAATGTAGGAGAGCCAAAAATAAAAACTATTTTACGTATATCACATTCTATCCCGGAAATAGATTAACGTGTGTCATTATAGGGACAAACTTTTCTGATGTATCCCTTGGTAAGACACGGTTGTTACGCTGCAATTATGAGGTGTTAGGATGATGATGATGATGATGATGATGATGATGATGATGAGAAATGAACGTGGCCTTTTTTAACCATCCCAGCATTCGTCTGTATGACCGAGGGAAACCACGAAAACCCCGCTCAGGATGGTCGGTTTGAGGATCGAACCAGGCCCTCCCGGCAGCACGCTACGTACTGAAACACATTGCTCGTTTTATTATTATTATTATTATTATTATTATTATTATTATTATTATTATTATTATTATTATTATTAATAATAATAATATTATTATTATTATTATCATTATTATCAATGTACGTAAAATATATTTATAAATACTGTGCAATATTTTCCTTTTCTGTGTGATCTGTGATGCATATGTCTCGAAATATTTGAAAAATTCTATGAATTCTTATTTTTGCTAGCAGAGTATTTGTACCAAATAACCATTGTAAAAGTTGAGAAAATAAAACATAATAATTATTATTTAATATTAACAGTAAAATATTGTTACGACTACTACTGATTTGTTTTAACTCCAATAACGGTGAACATTTTGAATATAATTGTTTATTGGGCGCCCATATAAAACACGTTTGACAACATTCAGCAAAAAATAAAAACTGGTCTTCTCAGAATAAAATATATAAAACACAAAAGTAACTGCTTATTTTTTTAAGATGTGTATGGGCGAATAAATATTGTTCGAATTCTTAAAATGTAATAGTGTAGGAGCCAGGTATGAGCGTACTTGTAAGATATTCACACTGAATATACATCTTTGGACTTTATCTATAGTGTACATAATAAACCTTGGTCCTTTTGTCTCAAATCTTGTGCTAGACTCCACGACTTTCCAAAAAGACAAAAAAGCGAGGACTCATCATTCACAAGAATTTCCTGTAGAAATCAGGTTATACTATGTCTTCGGTGGCAGCCATAAAATGTCAGACAATCTAGGATATCGCCCTTCAGAGAGAGGTTCGTTTTATCTTTTCGTATGTCGCAGATAGGGCCGATTCTCCTTGCAGAACGAAACCAAGTTGCAGTGCCGGCGCACAGACGTCGAATTTACTTCCCCGCGTCTGGAAATCCGGAAGTAATTTCGAGAACAAGGCCAGCTGCAGCGTACACCAATTCACAAACTCGCAGAGTGATAGTCAGCATTCAAGGCCAGCACTAGTGGATAGTTTTTTAATATAATTTTCTAAAAGTTTTAATTATTTTTAATTAAAAGGAATTGGCCCATTAGAATTCAACTGATAGAGCACGACTAAAAGACAGGCTCAACCCAATCAATTAAATATAATTCCAAAACTATTTTCTAAGTGTTAATTTAATGAATGTCATAAATAATGTAATCAGTCATGTGAAATGAAGAGAAAGTGATGATGTTGATACAAAAAAACGATAACACCAGTTTATTAAAACAGTAATAAACTAGTGACGCAACCCAATGGTACATACTTTCCCGTATTAGTTTTATATTTCTTTGGTCTTGCCTAGCTATTCGGACTTGACATACTCTTGCCAATTGCTATCTATCGCCGCCCAAAGTACATTTTTGTTTAAATTTTCACAATTTTTTTCAATTTTCTAATTGTTGGATCGAAATATTATTTTAAGAATATTAAAGAACTGTAAAACCAAGTCGTAAATGGCAAATTCCCTTGAAAAATTTGGAGGCATTTTGGCGCTTAATCGCTTTTGTAAATTCAAAATTTGAAGCTCTCTTTTCCAGAAAAAGTTTTGAGTTTGTGAAAAACTTCATTAGAAGCCATTTAAAGTACATTAACTCACAAATACAACAGTGTTTATAAATTGTTGTAAATGTGCATATTAAAGGCGTGAGAGATCTTAAAAAATTACATTATATAACTTTTGAAAATTCAAAAAATACCCCAAATGAACTTTAATTCATATTAAAGAGTGCAATTAGCACAATTCGTTCGAAGAAATTAAAGAAAAGAATTGGAGCAGTTCTTGAGGAAATAGCGTTTGAACGTTTCTGAAATCGCGGAATTTTCAGCTGGTTTTCAAATAAAACGGTTAAGTTTTCGAGAAACTGTATCTGACATTATCTAAAGAACATGTACTCATAAATATAATAGTGTAATTCGATGCTAGAATAAATATTAACGTCGTGAGAGACAAGTAAAAAAAAATGTTTTGGTAATTTTTGAAAAAACATAAGAATAGAGCAATATGGCGTTTATGTCATCACATACAATGAATTTTGAACTATACCTACCAACAGTTTAAAGAAAAAAATTGGAGACGTTTTTGAGAAAATATTGTTGTAATATTTTAAAATTGCACATATTGCTCCCAATATGGCGTAAAAACAACTAAAAAATTTCAAAAAGATTTACATAACCTTAATGAAAGAACTTACTGTGGAGAATAATCTCTATCTTCAATTTTGTAGTTGTAGGAAGACCCCGCAAAAATGTATTATTTTCCAATTTTCAAAAATTTAGTTAACCGTGCAAATCTGACTTATAATACCTTTATAAGTGGAGTTTACGCTATTCTTACAAGGAATTTAGAGAAAAATTTGAAGCCGTTTTTGAGAAAATTTTGAAAATGTCCGTGGGGTTTCATGTAAAGTATCACAAAAATTAATGAACGTTTTTCAAAGTCACACAGCTTCGACTCAGGCCAAAACGACAGGGGTTTCATAAGTATGGAAAAATTCGTACGCTAGTTTAGGCGCTATTGTTCACGGACGGACGGACGGACGGACGGACGGACGGGCGGGCGGGCGGACGGGCGGACGGGCGGACGGGCGGACGGGCGGACGGGCGGACGGGCGGTCGGGCGGGCGGGCGGACGGACGTTTTGCTGTCAATCGATTTTTTGGTATTAAGGACACACAAAATAGAGATTCTGGCTACACCACGTGTTGGAGGATTTTTTTAAAAGATTAGCAACTGGATGTCTCTAATTTTTTGTTTTCAGTGCCCTGTAATAATTTTTTCCTGCCGAAAATCCGCCGTTTGTTCGCACAACTGTACACAACTTTCCCTATACTACGTATATTACTCTGTATAGACGTATGTATTCGGGAAAGTAAAAATTGCAGTAAAATAACATACCCTGTTGCAGGCGTTGACGACGGCGTGATGAGTAAATTAGGAGAACGGGGTGTTTCGATAACCGCGGCACAACATCGCAGTAATTTGCACGTGCACTTATGACGGTCATCACTCGAAACGATAACCTATCCCGTTTCAACTTTGCTGAAATCCCAGATTTTCGGCACGAGAGTTAAAAACAGGTTCCCAATTCAATCTTTTGTGAACATACAGATCGAGTTACAGAATAAGACCCTTACCCTTGAGTAATTAGTTTTAAAATCAAGTTAGTTTATAAGATTAATTTAAGTCGCCACAAACTACGTGTGTAAAAGTACTCTAGTATTGATCTACGTAAGTTGCAATACCAATCGTTCTTCGCACTGTGTCTTCGACGAGGGTGAGGCATTCAGTCAGGGTCTCGCAATGTTCTTAAATGTTCTTAGAAAAGAAACAGACTGTTGCTTTGCTGGTAATAGATCTGTTAAATAATTAAATGTTTCACTAAATACGGTGATATTACGGTTGCATACTGTGATGTTACGGTTTAATTAGAAACCGAGGGGCATTTACTCGATAATATTCTTATATGTTAAGACCCACGAACAGAGAACCGCCCTGGCAATCGAACATTCTGAACAAAAATGGGAGAAATTTATGTGATCAGGCGAAAAGGCAAGCCTTTTGGCCGGAGCCTTCCAATTTTGCGACATTTTTATGTATGAGGATAATAAAGAGAAAACCATAACCACATGTACGATTTTCCAACATTTCTTTATACAAGCATATTTTTCCTAGAGCTTTGGTCCAGCCAATTGCCGGTTATTCTCTACTTCCCCATGGGTCGCATATTTGACCATACACTAGACACCAACACACTTGCGGGCTCCTCTAAAGTGGGACCAGCAGAACGCGAGTCCCTACGCGACAACACATAAGAGACAAGAGGCAATCATGGCCAAGGCGGGACTCGAACCGGCCACCCTCCGGACCAACGCGCTGAGTATGTACACGCTGTTAGCCACCTCGGCCATCCAGGTCGGCTATGCGAACATTACAAGTACTAATAATAGCTCTCGCTTTGTGGAATTCGTTCATGGAATCAAAAGCATTTTTGATGTAAGTGTAATTAAAGTCACCGTGCGAATGTTTGTGGAATTATACCCAGAAATTATATTGTGGTTGTACAGACAAGCAAAAACGAAATATATACTTCATGAAACAAAACACCTTACTAAGTTAATTTCGGTTAGATATTTTCCAGAGCATACACTTTTCATGAGCTTTACCGTACCAAGCTTGAGTCTGGTCCGCTCCCATTAATTCTTCACTTTTGTGAGCATTCCTTTTTGCATCTCGAGCAATCTGGCGTAACACCTCTCTTTTCAGAGTCTTCGTGTATTTAACAAAACGTGTGTTTTCCTTTGCAAAGTGGAGTCACCTAGCAGACAGAGGAG